ATGCAATTTCAGGGCCATTTCACGAGTGTGTTGCTTTGGATTAGACTCAACAAAACTCTTCAGAGCATCAATATCAATTCCAACATGTTGGCCCCTGCCATCACAGTTTTTAAGGCTAAAGTCACCTGAACGAAATTTGCTGAACTATCGTTGACACTTACGAACGTTCAAAACATTTCCATAAACTTCTTTGATATTCTTTGTGGCTACAGAGGCATTGTTTCCCTTCTTGTATTCAAACAGCATTACATGCCGAATGTGTGTCTCGTAGTGTGCCATCACTATAAGGGATTAGAGTATACTAAACTTTACACATTATATAGGCTACACTAATGTGATGTTTAGGGGGTTCGTTTAACTATTATATGTGATGTAAATTTTTTTTTTGGAAGTGATTAATGAGAGTGTTCCAAAATGCGACATTAATTTCTTGACAACCTAATACTTTAATTTTATAGCTGTTTTTGAATTTCTGTGCCATTTCCTTTAATGGTTTTTGCTTCATTTATTGAGTGTTCTGTGTTTAGCTGGTTGTGTATGTTACTTTAGGATGTTCACTCTATACACAAGATCCACATATGGGTGATCATGTGGTGTATGAATATACCATGCATATTTTTCTTTTTGCAATCATATAGTATTTATTGTACATATATGCAAGTTTAACATAACATGTTCAAGAAAGCCATTAAGTTCATTTCATTCAAGTTGCCTTTGTTACTTTTTCACTCTCTGGAGATAATACCTTTTCTTGCTCATGGGTGGGATTGCTATAATGTTGCATGTTATTCAGGAATGTTGACAACAGTGTTCTACGATGATAGATCAGGTGACATCTTGAGGTTATGACCTTATGGAATTGACTAATAGTGACATAAGTAGCACAGCATACTGAGAATAGTGTTATAGATATTGGATATATAATATTCTGCTCTCTGAGTTATCTCTCTCTCTCTCTCTTAAAATCAAACCCCCAATTTGATAGGTCATGTTTAAGTCCTTTCTTTATAAATAGTGATACTCTCCTAAAGTTTGACCTGTAAAAGTAATAGTAACTCATTTTCATTTAGCATCTTTATAAGTTGTTAGGAGAGTATAGGAAGTTAACTATATGGTAAAGGCACTCTTCTTAATCCTATACACACATTATTTTGATTGTACATTAGTAAAAATAAAGATTGTTTTCATTGTGTTTTTGTACATTGTATCCAGTCTCTTTATTTCTCAAAGTCAGAGAACTCAGAATTACTTCATAATAAATATCTTTTGAACCTCCTGTTATTAAGTAGATCTAACTCATTGCTCTAAGGTTAATTCAGAGTAGATAAGAAAGAGAAAATTTTGGTGCAGTGATCATAAGATATCTTACTGAGGAGTTTTCTGTCTTTACTTCAACTCTTGTGTTATTAAGCTTAAAAAGTCTTCATTCTTGAGGAAATATGATTTTCCTCAACCTGAATAACTGACAACTAAAAAAACAAGAGTCAGTCACTGAAAGGAGGCAGTTGTACAAGAGACTTGTCAAGTATGGGAGAAATCCTCTCCTGTACACCAGACTTTCACTGATGCTACAAAGATCCATGATTTTTTTCTTGTTGCTACAACATCTTTCAAAATGTGGTGCACCTAGAATGGTTGACTAAGTTTTCCCCTGAGGATCAACCTTAGTACAAGGGAAGTACAGATGACTGGGGGTCTTCAAGATGGTGTAGTATCTGATGAGCGTAAGACCAAATGGGGTGGTCTGTACAGGACTCCAAGGCCTTTTCCAACTAAAGTAATCCAACTCCAGCTCTGGTTAAAGTTGCCTAAGACTAGTCAAGAGACTGGAGGTGCCTTTGGTGGATGATGTTTACCAACATGAGCTGTCTTACAAGCAGGTGAGATGAAAGGCATCAAGTGGTGATGTAAATGGACCATGAGGTAGTGGTGAGCCTCTCAGAGTTGGGAGGTATACCAAAACAACCACGAATCACAATGAAGCCTAGGAATGTGCAGAATTGACAGACAGCAGTTGAGCATACTTTGTTGTTCTGTTACCCCCTGTCAGAGTGTCAGTGTCCCTGAGTATGCCAGCCACACTCTAACTCAAACATTATTATTATCTCCAAATTATATTTTGTAATTTGTACCAGACCATAAAGTTTGATCAAGAACATTAATGTTTAATGGACAGTAATAATGCAACAGAAACTGGCAAGTTTTTAGGTGGTGGCAATATATGACACTATTCCAAATCTAATGCTGGAAACATATACTGATTGTGACTAACAATTTTAGTAGGTGGGTTGAATTGTACCCATTACAACATATTATTACCCAATGTGTTGTGAAAAATCTAATGAATGAGTACTTTTGTAAATATGGTATTCCCCAAATTCTAGTCTCTGACAATGGCCAATCTATCTTCCATTTTATGGCAAAAACATTTAAGGCAATAGAAATTAACCCTGTATATATATTATTACCACTTATCATCCTCAGTTAAATATACGCATTAAACTGGAACATTGGGAGGATGACATCTGCACATCTTCACAAAAAAAATCACAAACTTGATATTTTTATTTACCTGACTTTCCTTTTTCAATTAGAACCTCAATTCATGAATTAACAAGTTACATTTGGGATATGAAAGCCTCTTGCCTTGGGATTGTCTAAGTACTTGGTCAAACCACAGACTGTCAGAGAACACACTGTGAAACTACAAAATATAAGGCAGAAGGCAAAACATAACGTAAAAATAACTCGGAGAAAAGCTTATATTTACAGAAGATAGACAATAGTGCTGAATTTGCTCCTAGATAGACAGGAGCTTATGAAATTGTAACATAAATAACATTTATCTATCAACCAATAAATCCTAGAAAAGGTACTATACAAGGTAAATATCATATATCAATATTTTAATTTTTTTAAGCCACAAGAAATTGTTGTCCATATTGGTGGGAAAGCTTCTGATTATATGAAACTTTTGCTGATACTACACTAAATGTAAGTCAATGAATGATATGACCAAAGTATCACAATGACTAAAGACACCTTGTAAGACTCCCTATTGCCAAAACAAGGAGTGTATGTGATGAGAGCCAAAGAGTGGCAAAATAAGTGCAATATACCTTTTGCTTTGATATCATTCTGGTAAGCTGAACCAGAACAAAAAAATTTAATATTGTAATGATAATTATTTAATGTAATGATGATGCAAGAGAAATATGTAACTGATCTTTGCTATTGTTCTGGTAATATAAATAAAGGCCATAACTTTCAGTAAACCAATCTTAATTATAACAACATATGCTGTGCCCAGTATCAGTTTAGGTTATAAAATACAGTGTATATAAAACCGTGACTTATGTATGAATTGATGACGTTCATCACTTCAAAGAAAAAGGGAAGGGAGGAGCTGACACCTTACATATTGACAAAGGATTGTGATTTAAAGAGAAATGAAAAGTAGTGACAGCTTGGAAAAAAATGTTTCCTGAATTTTGAATATGAGATGTACTCTATCCCTCTAAGTCTACATGTTTACAATAAATGGCATAACCTGCTACGCAATGCTGTGAAGCCTACAAGTTTTCTCTCCAAAAACACAATATAGCATGAATACAGATAAAGCAGCAGAATGAAGCATTAAAACAACTTACTGTCATAGCCTTTATGATTTCTTTAATTTAATATCTACCTACTATTAATCCACTGACTGCTGATTCACTGCATAGAATACAGTTTGCTTCCAGCAGTTGAATACAAGTGTGCTATATATATATATATATGGTGTATGGCTTGCAAAAGTTCTGCACCTGTTTAGAGCAGTTATAGTCGGTCAATGGGTTAAAAATATATTTACACCATATTCACCAAAAGATTTGAAAATCCATTATTTTTGTGATAAAATTAATAAAGAATGTAGCTACAGTTAGACCTTACTGACCCAGTCAAACCTTCTCTTTATCTTAATTTCTACTTACATCTGCAGAAAATGAATATAAATTCAAATTCAGGCAATAATGGATGTTGTCCCCAGTAGATAAAAATAACACAGACATGAAATGAAGAAGTGAGAAGAAATCACCAATACTACTGCAACATGGTAACCCAAAACCAAATAAAACATCACATACACACATAATTAATAAAGCCTTAGAATGAACTAAAGAATTTTGCAACAGCTTCAGTAACATACACATTTATACAAGTATAAAGAGTTTAAACTCCAAATTATATTAACTCATATGCTTATCAAGACATAATAAGAAAACATATGGACTAGGAGGTAAGGATCATGAATAGTGACAATCACAAATTAATGAATGATAAGTGAAGTATAAAGGTAATAGTTGTTCATGTACAAGAACAAAAAATATTTGGTATTAAACAGTTCTCAACAAGTATTAAAAAACCATTTACATACAAATATAAAAGACAGGTACAGTTTATATGAAAGAAACTGTCCCATAACACTCTGTGATTAATAAAAACAAACAAGTTCAAAATTTATGCAGTCAAAACTATCTGCAAGTTTGTTGATGAGCAAATTACCAATGAGACTTCTATGCTCAATAATAGGCTTAAGAGGAAACTCTAAATCAAGATTAGCTATGTCTAGAGGAAGCTGTTTGAAAACAGTGAGAAGTGGGTCATTGAACCTTTCTTTGCACTTGAAACTACTGATCTATATTAATTCTACCTTTTATACCATGAAAGTACAAGCTTTTATCAAGACCACAAAATAACTGTGAACTCTAAAGTCAATGTTTCTATCAAAAGTAAAATATTACTAACCATCTTTGCCTGTGAACAGTGCTTAACTCAAACCAAAACTCATTCACTCCCTAACAATATGGTTTAAAGCAATATTATGCAAGGTTGAAACACTGGTTCACAAACAAAATTCATCTGGTGGAAATGTTATCAAAATCATTAAGAATTTAGCCAATAAGAGCATCATTTAATGAAATTCAATACATAAATTGTAAAAAAACAATAAAGTTTACCTCTCCAACATCTATAGTTCTTCCAAATTTAATTTTCCCTGGTTGTCCATTACTACTTACACACTGAATTAATGAACGAGATGTCTCAGATGGAAGCCTCCCCCAAACATTTTGTAGAGTAAAATTTGAATCAAATTGACCTACATGTACAACAAGAAAACAATTATTGGATAATCATATGGGGGAATATAAATTACATGGTTCTGATGTTCAGTATGTGCTAGATTTTGTAAATATGCAAACTACAAAAACTGTTTTATATACATGCTACAGCAAGAAAACATAGGGATTAAATTTTGAATTAAATATCATATAAAATATGATATACAACTTTAAAATACTTATTAATAGTTTTAATTGTTTTATATTGTTTGTCATTAAGCACAAGGCCACACAGTAGAATATCTATTCTCTACACTGCATGTATCAAAATCCAATTTTTAGCATTGTAAGCCCTCAGACTTACTTCTGAGTCATTGGAGGGCTGTTTAAGACCAAACTGATTAATTATAACTTATATTTACATTTTCCATGTCAATTTTTAATTTAATCAGTGTTAATTCAAACAACTATATTATATTGTGTAAGTAGTGAATATATAAAAAACTTAGCTGTGATCTACAATATTTCTTGTTCATATTTTAAATATGTCAATGCACTAAAACTTATTTTTCTTTCAAAATATTATTTTAAAGCATGCTTGTTAGAGTTATGATTTAAGATCAGAAAATCATTAAGATTTAATTCTTAAAAAAATAAAGAGCTATTATGGAGGTCATTAAGAATTTTGAATGATTTTCTTAATATGAAAAAATTGTATGACAAAGCATGATGATAGCAACCACTTTTAAATGATGTAATATGTTTATCCTACATCTATAATAACAAAAAATAAATTTGAAAAACCTAATGGTTCCTGGTTTGGCAAGAGAAGACTTTGATATGGTTGTGTATGTCATTTGATGACATACTGATGGAATGCATCTGTTAATTTTCTTAAATTCTAACCTATAAATTTTCTTAAACACAAAAGACAACATCTCAAACTTTATCAATTTATTAGCTCATTCACTCTGATCTTTATCCACAAAAAATGTTAGAAAAAAATTCTTCAGCAGCTTTTTGTACAAACTTTCAAGAAATTACAAGTTATCATTCTTCAGGCTCACATTTTTTTTTCAAAAAACGTTTTTACTTTTAGAATAAGCTGACTTTTGTTTATACACTGTAATCATACATAGGTATGTTGATACAGTTTGAGTGTAGTTAAGCACAATACTGCTTACAAGACTATTTCTTCTCTGCTCACCATGAGTATGGAAACCCAGTTTTTGTGTACTAAGTCTGCAGACTCACTCACTGGGAGGTATATTGTTATGCTATTACTTAATATGTACACAATCCTCTTTACTACACACAAATTTTGAGTAATGTGGTTATTTTCAAGAGAACTATCAGCTCTTGTAAACTATGTAAACAAATATATTTTTATGTATGTACCTTCATCAAGCGACTACACCAAGAAAAACATATGAAAAAGATAAGTATTTCTTTTAAATTTCCAAACTGTTGTATCAAAATAACTTTTACTCAAGTGCTATTACAAATTATATATTTATGGTGATCACGATAACTTTTCTAGTGTGTTTCCTTTTCCACACTGCATATATATATATAAAAATACCTTTTTACTAATAAAATTTTATTACTATATCTTTTTGTAAAAGCATTTGTCAAATATTTCATTTAAAACAATAAAACTTTTTAAAGACTTAAAAGTTACTGAATTTTGATCTAATTTTAACTTCCGTAATACATAATAGTCTGAAAACATTTACATGACAGTTAAAAAAAACATAAAACATAAAAACTTTGTAAAAAATTAATGATCAACACTTACCTACAACAAAAGAAGAGCACAACAAAAAATACAAATATACTGGTAAAATGTGTAACATTGTTCTTTAAGAAATAATTTAAAATATGCTGAACAGATACCACAAACAATAGGTATTTAAAGCAGTCATGTAGTAACAAGTGTGGTTCATGCAATAAATAGTGAGGCCTCTGGGGCACCATCCACGTCCTGGAAGTGGAAACTACTAGCTTCCTGTTGTATAGATATGCCCGTATCTATGCTTGAAGCAGGAAATAACTGAACTTAGACACTGACTGTTTAAGTACTGATAATGTAAACATATTTGACAGTTGACTTTTTTTGTTCAACTACTGTTGCTATCTGATACTTCTGTTTTCATCTCAGAGCTACTGTGCATATAACTGACGCCTTACATCCGGCCTGCCTGAAAGGAAACCTAAACCTAACAAAAATATTAGGAAGGAAGAAATATACAAAAATATAGAAAATTATATAAATTTTATGAGCTTTTGAAAATCTGGAAAATTATAAGAATTGGGGATATTATTGTTTATTAAAGACATATATCATGAAAATAATCAAATATACTTTATTTCCATTTTTTATTACTACTTTTACCATATTTACACAGAAAAAAGGTCATAAACACGTTCAAAACTATAATCATTCTGAGAATATATATATTAAAGTCATATCTAGATTTCTATTTAACTAATCAAAGTACTTTTGTAACAATTACAAACAATCATAGTATAAAAAAATGAAAAAGTTTCTACTTCACATTTCAAAAATCATTACATTATGATAAAATGATAAAAAAATTACAACACTCACGTCAGTAGTGAGATTATTTTTGAAAAATAAAATATATTCAATACTACACTTAAAGATGATGAAATGTGCTCAAAGTGCAACTGAAAATTTTCTAGAAATGACAAAACAGTGGAAGGATTACCATTAAAAAAAAACTGACATAATACTGAGACGTCTCTCAAGAATAAAGAAACAGGAAATTAAAAGAACAAGAAGTAGTAAAAGACAAATAATTTGATGAGACTGACAGGAATTTAAGAGGGGTAAAAGAAAGAAATGTAAGATTTAAAGATGAGTTAAGAACAAGAATAAGTTTGATTATAAAAAAGACTGAAGAAGTAAAGAGGGATGATAGCTAAAAAAGTATAAGTACAAAAAAGACATTTATAAAGAACATAAAAATTATAACAGAAAAGTTAACAAGATGAAAAAAATATCAAAAATAGAATAAAACATCTGGAAAATTAATATGTATTTACAAGGATCAAACCATCCACATCTCTCTTGCCCAAACATTCCAACCTCAAACACTACTAGATATGAAACAGGAGAACCTATCTGGTCTATACTATTGTCGTGTCACATATGACTGCAAAACCTAATTGCTATATCATTACCTCATTAAGTTACAGAATTTAGTAGGCCAATTAAACAATATTGCTTGATAAAGAAACCAATAGACTATGATGGAAAGGTACTATGGGAGGCATATCAGGCTCAGTTTGAAATTATTTCTAAAGTGAATGGATGGAATTATGAACAATAAGCTATTCATCTTGCTGCACATTTAAAAGCACCAACCTTAACAACATTAAGAAATCTTCCAGCTGAAAGTTGGGACACCTATCAATCATTGATGGCTATCTTATCAAACAGGTTTGAAGTGATACATGGAAAAAAATAAAAAAATCCAAAGCAAAGTAAGGAGGAGAGAAAATACCTTAAACAAACTTGCAGAAAATGTGGAAAGACTTGCTCAACTGTCTCACAAGGATGCTTAATATGAAATACTGGATTATTTAGCAAGTGACCAATTCATGAAAGTTGTAGTATATGAAGATATGTAAATTAGGCTCCAGCAATGTTCATGTACATTTTTAAAGGAAACTCTCCAGTTAGCAATGGAACTGGAACCTATTAAAGCGACAGCACAGATAAACAATTAAAGGTACCATCCAAACATTAGAGGATCATCAGATAACGCAGTATGGAAACATCAAATCCTTCTGATTGTAATGTAGAAGAACTGAAAAGATTAACTAAACAACTAATTACATAAAATGGAACAAGAAAACAATAGTTATTCCAGATGTAAATTAAAAGGACATAATGCCAAAAACTGCAGACAAAAGATTATAAGGAATAAAAGGATGTCAGATAAAGGGAAACTGTTATAAATGTGAGAAACATGACCATTACAGCCAAGACTGTGGGGAATCAACAGATAACAATAAACCATGGAGAAATACCATAAGACTGAGTTACAGAGCCCAACCAGGTCAAAGGAACAACAAAGATCTGCCTACCATGGATATCGAAATCCGGTTTCTAGCATTGTAAGTTCGCAGACTTATTGCTGTGCCACTGGTGGGCATCACAAAAGTACATATTTAAGTCCATAATTTTATCAAAATTGACCAATTGAAGCACATTATTAATAGCAGGGCAAATGAAAAATAACTTATGCACACATTTAATCTCTTTCATCAATGTTAATTTACTGGTAAAAGAAGAGAACATTAATTTTGTCTAATGTTATGTACATATAGATGTAGAGAAAATAAATTATGAAGTAGCAGAAAATATTTTACTTGAGATTTAAAAGTCTTTGAAAGGAGTTGATAAATGAAAGGTTTTATGTAAGTATTAAGTTTATTAGTTTTCTTAATTTTTTTCTTGTATTTTATTTTCTGACTCAATTGGGAATGGAAACTTATCTGTGCATAGAGTTCTACACAAAGAGGCCTAGGTTTCTGAGCTTAAACAGTTGTTTGTAACCAAAAAAAGTTTCAAATTATTCTATCCTAAAAAATAACTTATCAGAATAACACTAAGGGCATAGAAAAACCAGATAAAATCTTATAATATAAAATATAAAATTCAGTAAAGCTGCTACTGGAATAAATTATTATTATATCTCAGAAAAGCATTTCATAAAATTTCTGAATTTGATTGTTGAAAATTTAACAAAATATTATAAAAAAAGGAAAATCTTCCCATACTTTTTGTTAAGTTCTTTAGAGCCAGATTATTTACTGTAGGTGTCTGTGACTTGTTGGTGATAAATTTCAAATAACAACCAGACAGCACACAATCCACTTGTTTTAAAATAATGTATTCAAAACAACTACTCATTAACACAGTTGTATCTAGAGCTTTAAATAATTGTCTCTTTTCCGTCAAAGTCCACACAAGCAGGTTGTTACTTTAGAACACCTTTTGACAAAGCAAATTATTCTCCTCTATCTCTGTTATTACAATACAAGCTGGGAAACTCACTTTAGAAATTGCCCATTATGGCTAAACTGACACACAGTTTACTTTCACTAACTTGGTTGCCTATATATATATATATCTTGCCCCACAGAGGCCTAGAACTTTGTACCAACTACAAGACATTATGTAACAATACATACTTAAAGCAACAAGAAAAATTCCAACGGTTCAAGTAATGTGACATCAATTCACAAAAATTGAACTACACAACAAATGATTGACAAACAGTTAAGTAAGCAATTCTCCGATAAATTATCATTCCTTAAAATACTAAATTTAACACTCATGATTTATAACTATCTAAATCATAACTCTAGGAATTAAATTTTGTATAATAACAGTGTTGTCCATGAAACCGTTACAGAAAACAGCACTGATGAAGTACACCTAAGTAATCAAAATGATGTCTAAAATCAAAAAATGTCCTTTAGAACATTAACATGACATAAACCAATCTGTGTTTTTTATCTGAAGCATATATGTAAATACTCATTATTCAAAATTACGAATGTCAGTAGACTTGTAAAAAATGTGTTGTTATAGGTTTAAAATTACAAACAACTATTTCAATAATCTGACTTTTAAATCAGCACCCAAAATTAAGAAAGTCCAACATTCAATGAATAATCATACTTTGTTTTTATTTAAATTCAACCATATTACATATAGATGCAGTTTCAGTCATTTTACAGTAAAAATGGTATTAAATATATTCTCTTTATGGATAAGAATAAAGGCTTGTTTATAATTATCTTTTAAGGTTTGGATAACTAATTTAGTAGCATACAATTATATGGCTATTTGTTTGCATGTTAATATTTACAAAAGATACAAAGTTTCATGTAAGGAATAATGAACATGTCTTAAATATAAAACAATCATTAAATTAAGAAGAAAAGACACAATCATAGTTAACATAATGTTTTGGGACAACATGGGACCTACTGGTCCATCTTGGCTGTTACATCCTCTAAACTAAATTAAAATAATTTAAAAAAAATAATAACTTAAAGCCAGCCCTTATCATTCATATACTTATCAAGCTTTCTCTTAAACTCACTTAAATTTACTGCCTCTACAACATCCAAAGGCCAACCACCCTCTTAGAAAAATGAAATTGTCTTAGCTAAAGATGACTCCAACATTGTCCAAATTTATGTGTTCCCTACTATTCTCACTCTTAAATATGAAAAAAAGATGATACATCAACAGTATCAATTCCCTTCACAATCTTAAATACCTCAATCAGATCCCTACTAAATCTTCTTTGTTCAGGAGAAAACAATTTCAGGGATTTCATCCTCTCCTGGTATGACAACCCCTCCATCCCAGGCACCATTCTAGTAACCCTTCTCTGAACCCTTTCCA